TCTATTTTTACCGCGTAAATTTGAATCGTATAATATTTTTTCACCATTTTTTTTTTTTTTTTTTTTAAATATTTTGTTGAATTATTATAGATGTGTACATATGAAATTTGAGATGAAAATTTTATTTTCGTTTGAATAGATAAATGGACAATTAAATATAAAGCTGTTCAACAGTAAATTTCACATTTCTAATCAATTTTAATTAATGAACGTCTTCCGGTTACTCGACGCAAGGTTTTCGGCAAAATATCTCTATATTTACTACTCACAGCGGAATGCGTTTTAACATTGAACAAACTGTATTTAACTGGTCGAGTGAGCATGTTTAACAATTCACACCAAACAAATAATTCCATGGTGTGAGACGTTGAAAAATTCATACGACAAGCGTTCAAAGTTTGCAACGCGTTAAATATGCAATCGATTCAGCGGAGATTGTTCTATTCGATTATAAATCCGGCTTTAAAATTTGATTCGATGTTTGAAATGATTAAAACTTTGAATAGAAAAATGCTGAATTGAAAACGAAATTATATTATAAATTATAAAAGAAAAAGAAAAAGAAAAAGATTTTTTTTAAAATTCCGACATAAAGAATAAATTTAGAAATTTGAATACAATGAAAATACTAAATATAAGAATATCTAAATATAGAATGGAAATGGACGATGTATTAAAATATATTAATAGATAGGATAAATATTTATTTAAACGAAAATCAAGTTACTTTAATAATAATAATTGAACGATTGACAAGTTTTAACAAGAACTCGGTCTTTAGAACTGACGCAAAAAATTTTAAAACAACTGCTCGAGCAAAGTTATAGTCAGCTATGATTCATCGCGGGCAAACATTCAACAAGAATGATTAATCGTTCAACTAAATGCAGATGGTTACAATATTCTTCTTACTGGTTTCATAATATTAACCAACATCCTTGCTGGCTATTATCGATATTAGTGGTAGATTGAAATATATATATATATATATATATTACAAATAGAATCTAATTAATCTATTTAAAAAAAGAAACTACTTCTATATAATCTATTTAAAAAAGAAAAAGAAAAGGAAAATTGTAAAAACAATATACTTTTATACAAATTTCAAATTTTGATCTTCTCACAAATAATTTGAGAAATGTATATATATATATATATGTAATAATTTGAAAAAATTATGATAATATTATTCAAATATACGCGTTATATTTCTCGTTTAACACGGATTCCAACTCGATCCTCTAATCGCGGTGAGCGGACACGTAACTACATCTGCAGCGCTTAGGGACAATATAGGGATCCCTAGTACCGTTGAATAGTACACAACCATTACGCGAATCCAGTTATGGATTTTCGATTTCTTTCTATTCGATCACGGATCATACGTAGTGTATACGTTTCCAAGAATATCGAGTTCCTTTAAATACCTCTTCATCTTAAATTCCACGCGATAATGTCATCAATCTTCTCCCATCCCGCTCGCATCCTCACCGATCCCTCTTCCCACGTTGTTTCTTTTCTCTCGTTTCCCTTCTCCCATTCCCTCTCTTTGCTACGTTTCTCACAGCTTCCCTCCTTTTTTCTTTTCGAAACTCGTTTCTAACGGTATGCAGATATATTCATGAAATTGCTACGGGAACGTGAGCAGAAGCGCGTGGAACTGGCAACACAAATTGCAGATGTTCGTCTCGAAGACTATAAAATCAATTTTCCGTTACGTAGAGGAGAAGGAGGAGGAGGAGGAGGAGAAAAGAAGGTATGGAAAAGAAAGGAGGACAGAGAGAGAGAGAGAGAGAGAGAAAGAGGAAAAGGAAGGCGAAAAAGGATCCGCAGTTTCCTGCGATGCCGCAGTAATCACGACCAGCTAATTAGGGCGGTAATTTCTGCTAATTGCTTTCATTAGTACAGCCTCAAACTACAGTCTTCTTTATCGCCGATATAATTTTATAATTATATCGATTTCACGGCATGTTTTATAACTGGTGATTTATGGTGTCAATCGGCCAATTTCAGTGTTTGACAGTTTGAACGAATTATATTGTTATTATTACGTATTCTATAAAGATTTTCTCTAAAGTGTTTCTCGAGGAATTTATATTATATTTTTTTCTTTAGCCTGTGATTCATTAGCCTTGATTTCCATTTTCAATTTTATTCGTGCTCCGCTACCTTGGTAAAATCTTTTTTCTTGGCGTGTTATAAATATAAATAGGAGAATTAATTTCTCTTGATTCGATAGTTAATATAATAAATAATTTAACTTAATCGAAAATTTGATTTGAAATTTGATGTGAAATATATAAATCGATTTTTAATCGATAATAAAAGTAACGGATTTGTCAATTGGAAAAATGACAACAAATTTTTGGTCGACAGATATTTTTCGATTAATTGTGAGAGATGATGATTTCTACAGGTTTAATAATTTCTTGGTACAGCGGAAGCGATAAAATGGCGATAAGAAATCTTGAGAAAAGCATGATAATTGAAACGATTTTACGGTTGAATTGCAATCATTTATTTGCTCGTTATAAAACAATTAATTCAATTAAGTAACTCATTTAACGGTAATTAAATAATGGATACGAAAAAATAAATAATTATCCATCATCTGTAACTTAATTGCATTACTTACTACGAGATCGTTCTATTAATATAATAATAATAATAATAATTTTAGAATGCTTTCTCAATCAGTTTGGTCATTAAAAAGTAAAAAATTTATTAAAAAGAATATAGAAAACGGAGCATCACGTATCACGTGCTAAAATATAATATTATTTCGAAACTTTTGAAACTAACGTATCGAAGTAATTCTGATGCTTAAGGATAAGAGTAACTGCAAAACCATTACATTTATGTTGAAAAGTAACTTGGAAAACTTTAACAATATTTCATGACGAGGAAAGTAACTTCGGAACTCCTATATTATTTCACGCTCAAGAATAGCTTCAACACTTAACGCGGAAATGACTTCGAAACTCCTGCGTTATTCCAGGATAGAGGTTCTCAGTTTTCGTCGATTAATTTATTTAAGCGTCGATAAATTGCCAGAGATGTTGGAATCTGTAAATACGCTTCCTTTCGAATCTAGGTCGTGGTACGAGTTTACGTTACAGTAACTTTAATGGAAAAATAATATTTTACGATTAAATCTCATTATTAGAAATCTTTTTAACACAAAGATATATATATATATATCTATACATACGTACATGTACGATTTTACCGGCCGTCGATAATCGTGCAAAGTAAAAATTTTTACGTAAATATAGAAACTGAAGAGATAAAAAGAAGCTTAAAAAGAGATTTCGTGTACTGTCACGCGTGCTATATATATACCTTGAATATTTTATGCCCTCTTTTATAATCACCAAAACAATTTTTATACATTTGAACAAACCACCATTCCAAATTCATATATCATAAAATATATAAAAAAAAAAAAAAAAAAAAACCTCCTATCTATTATACCTATTATATCCTTAAGGGATACAATATCGCTTATTACATTTCCGTTTAAAAATATATCAATTCCAACTAGTTTCAAATTCTAAAAAAAAAAAAAGCAAAACCTCCTTCCTTTCGATATATAACCGGGAAATAACAAGATTTCTGAGTTAACCTGAAACGATCATGCGGTTATCAGTTTTTCAACCCCTGAGCGTGTAATTCCCCTTCCCCTTTCCCCTCCCTCGTTATCGCGCATACCGCCACGATTCTTCCTCTGGACGAGCGGCGATAAAAGCGAAATTCGAGGCGAGACACTCGTGGAAAATTGGAATGGAGTACGATGCACACACTTGGGGAAAGAGGGAAAATCGTAGATCACCGCGGGAAAACGACAATCGGTTATACGGGAAGGCCGATTGCGCATCGGGTATTACGGAAGTTACGTTTGACAAACCGCATGTAAGCGGAACAGGGACACGGCAGACCCCGATTCCGTGTGTAATTTTATGTTTGTGCTTGTTGAACCGTGATCGCGTTTCTGCGGCGGCCTAAGCGGCCGGCACGCGTGCGGTTATACCCGATCACGGCCACTATCACTCTATTTGGCCGTTTCTCTGTTACGCGGCCACCGAATCGTTCTCTCGATATCATAATGCCCTATCTCCCCTGATTATCGCGCCATTTCCACCGGAATTCGATTTCGAGCTCCGTTTCGCGATATTAATTAGGAGTTGAGCCGGATCGAACAGCCGGGAGGGAGGAAATTTTGCCGACGAGTGAAATAAATATTTATCTTGCGGGATAGAAATTATTTCTCGTGTAATATAAATATTAAATTTTCCTCGATGTTTGAAAACAATTTTGACTTTTGTTTTGTTGTTGTTTGCTGGGTTAGAAGAATTATTATGATCGCGATTGAAATGAAAATTTGACAAGGGACGTAATAGCGACAATACGCGAGTTTAAGCCGATTTTCTGTTACGTGGTCAACGGAATTGTTCTGATACCCGATCATAATGCCCTATCTCTCCGATTATCGCGCCATTATTCCACCGGAATTCGATTTCGAGCTCCGTTTCGCGATATTAATTAGGAGTTGAGCCGTTGAATGGTTGGTATGGGATGTAAGAGAGGAAAATTTTTTTTTCCTCGCTTGAATAAAATATGATGTTTTACGAATGAATCTGGCGAATAAACTAACTTTTCTGAGGAATAATTTTTTTTTCTTTCTTTCTTTTCATTTGTATCGAATTTTGAAATGCAAATCTGAAGAAAATTAATTTCTTCGCTATTCTGATTTTTCTTTTATTCTATAGAGAATTGTGGCTGATATTGAAGATATGAAAAAGAATGATTGAAATGTTACGTCAAGAATGTGCATGTTAGTAATCTCTTGATTAAAAATGAAGTTTGTTGATTTATTTTGTGATATCTAATTCTGAACTGAATGTTAAGAATCTTTCAATGGAGAAAATTAACAAAATCTTCAAAATGGATTAGATAATTGAATATATGAATGATGTAGAAAATATTTTGTGCTTTACTTTGTAACGTTTGGTACCATCCATCCAAAAAGTTAGGTCTGAGCAACGTATTCCAGTTCCAGTTCGAGCTCTCGTCGCTGTCCTCGAAGCTCAAACTCGGGAAGTCGAAAGTCGCAGCCATCATTTGATCCCTTTCATGGGATGGTAGAATGAGAACAGTGTCCACATTCTTCCTTTCCTCCTTACTATCCTCATCGTGTGCACCTTCGTGAAAAAATAATAAATGTGAAATTAGAATTTCCATTTCGATGATTTACACGCAATTGCATTGAAGAAATCTATATAAATCTATATATATATATATATATCTTCTAGTCGCTTATTTATAAACTGGTGAAAGGTTGGATCGTTATAGAAAGTTTTAATGCGAAAAATATGTATTCATCATGTGCAATGTTTATAAAGTTAAATTGACAGTGACGTAAGCAACTTTGCATACACATGTGTGTGTACACGAGAATAAAAAAAAAAAAAGTGGATTAGAAAGGAAATTTTCACGTTTTAAAATCTCATAAATAAAACTAAATTTACTTAATCTAACTTAAATTGATCGAAGAAATATTGATATTCCTTTTATACTCTCTTTTCCTCTCTCTTTTTTTCTGTAAAAAAAAAAAAAAAGAAAGAAAAATCTCATTATGATAAAAAGATATTCATTCACGAGAGAATCTTAGGTTTAACCTTCGAATCTCGGAGAATCGCCTTCTCCAGGAAAGAATTTGCTTGATCCAGCTTATATTCCTCCTCGAAACCGTACAATCTCCGTTTAACCTATTTTTGTAAAGATAATATCTATAAATCAATTTGGTATTTTTTGAAGCGCATCATATATATGAAAATAATTTAAAGAAATTAAAAATTACAAATATTCGACAGTTTCCAAGACGTACAAATATTTCAAGAATTATCCAAAAGAAGGAAATCTGGGAAGTCTCTATAATCTCGTTTTAAACGTAGGATAAATCCATCTTATGATTTTAATCCTCTCATTTGTCTAAGAAAAAAAAAAAAAAAAAAAAAAAAGAAATAAAGCAGTTATCAAATATCCAATCTTTACATAGATAAACGAGTTATATTCAAAATATAAATCGATTTGAATTGAAATTAATTAATTTATTTCTCTATAAGTTAAATACTAATAACATATATTAATAAAATCGAAAAATTTGTGAATCGATTAATTTTATATATTAATTTAAATATTTTAAGAAAAAATTTTTTAAAAAATTTTTCTTTTAAAGATACTAATAAATATTTTACTAGTTAATTTCAAATATAAAATTTGTTAAAAAAAATGATTTACTATATTATAATTTAATAAATAAAATAAAAAAATAATAAACCAGTTAGAGACTGTAAACTTTCAAACGTTGAACAGTTATGTATTACGTGAAAGGGGCTTAAAAATGAAAAGCAACGGAATGCAACCATATAATTATTCTTACTCCCGGCGTTCTGACCCACGATCCTTTCAAACGCCTCGCGGCACTTAGTGCTTTATAAGGAATTTGCCCAAGTGATTTATCGTCGAGCCCTTTTAGTGCCACGCTACTGAATTTGCTACCGACCTCCACTGTCAGACAGGAAATGCAGGATTCTGTACTTCTGTGCGGGTAGGTTGACACGATGGACAGACTCGATCGGTAATCGATAAGTGGAACACGTCGGTAAGGATTAAAAAAAAAAAAAAAAGAAAGAAATAGAAGGAGGGAAAGAAAGAAAAGAGAGAAGAAAAAAAAGTAGGTATTGACCATTTGCAGCGACGTCTCATTTGCAACGTGTCAAAGTGTTGCGTGTAACTAAAGTCTCAGAGCTATCGTTTCGGAATGATCGATCGTATCTTCTTTCTAACAGCCCCACCTCTCGTTTGTATATCAAACGGTCCACCACACGTTGTGTTTCTTGCTCTCAAAGAATCTCGACTTTTCTTTTCTTTCTTTTTTTTTCTTCATAAAACACGATGCAGCCTTTATACGAAACGAAATGTAAAGCAACGATGTTTTTCTGAACGAGGCGAAAGTGAGGTTAGGATCGATCGTGATAGTTGAAAGTAACACGAACACGTCTAAGTTACGATATTTATTTTTAAAATATAATTTTGTTTTCTCATAAATATTTGAAGTTAATCTAATTTTAATTTAATAGATGGATGAAAACGGAAGTATATGCCAAGTTGATAGTTCGCAAGATTTTGAAAGACAGGATGCTTGTTAGAAATAAAGGTAACCTGAGATGCATTAAGGATGTTTTTGAGATCTTTGTTTTGAGTATACGAGATATTGTATATTTTATATACCTCGCAGTGCTTTCGAAATAAGCAATTACGCGAAATTATTCCAAATTTTAAATATGAGATAACACAATTTTGAGATTATATAAAATTATATAAAATTGTTTTAAACAAATTTATATATATACATATAAACTAAAGTAATTTTTTTCTGTGAACTCATTCAAATCAAAATAAAACTTTTTTAACTTTTTAAAATCTGCAAATTAAAAAATATTCGCCGAGTTATTAAATTTCAAATTTTATTTCGACATTCCACATCAACTTAACGCAAACAATAATTTCCAATAGAGATAGCACTTTTATTACATTATCATCATTGCAAACAAACGAAATAAAGCTAATAAATCCCTGTTAATCTTTTTAAAATCAGTTAAGATCAATTTTCTCGAAAAGAATCAAGTTATCATTGTGACAGCACGAGGCATATATATATATATGAGAAACGGTTGGAAAATAGAGCGAGACGTGTATCAACGAGGAATATTTCTCCACGGGAGATTTTCCTCGAACGCTTTTGGCGATTATCCAATTGACTCCGTCGTCAATTCATATTGACGCACGTAGAAACGTAAGAGTCAATTTAAGTCAATCTAATTCCTACCAACGGAACCCTATTGCGCAGGAAGACGACACGCGATCTATCATAGCTCGAGGAAATCCGCGGCCATGGGTTTCGATGACGAAAAATCGTTGAGATTGCTGCCACGAATGGAATGAAATGTTTTGACAGACGACGAGATACTACCCTCTTATTGAATTCCTCCCCTCGAGGGGGTTCTATGGTACAGAAGAGATGAATTTGACATTACACTGTATATTACATTTCTTCTTTTCATGGAAATACGATTATATTTATATTTAACTTTCGGTTGAATAACCTCGATGATTTCATTTATTTAATAAGAAATTAAATAATAATTAAATTATAATTCATGGATATTTTTGGATAATTTTTTGTAATTTTTTTTATACGACTCATGGACGTATAATTAATGGATTTATAACATATATATGTTATTTTATGGTTCTATGGCATTCACAAGTTAGTAATAAAGACACAATGGCAATGATAAATGGTTTTGAGCAAAATTAGTAATTATATTTTCCTATTCTTATTCAATAATTAATTTTAATAAAATTTAATTATGAATCAACGATTGAAAGATTGAAAATGATTTTTGAACACATTTGTAAGTTAATTTTTTCTCACAATTCTTACAATTTTCATTACTTTATATTATAAATATAATATTAATCATAGTTCATATATAATAGTTCCTAGTAAAGATCCTAGGATAGAGAATATATATAATAGATTCTAACTCTATCCTAATATAGAAAATATAATAAATATTCTTCGCTGTATTTTATCGAAATAAATATTATAACCTTTCACAAGGTCCATCATCAATTGTGCACCTATACAATTCATTATAACAGCGCTATAAATTTCTTCTTCTCTTTCAAAAAAAACTTTTTGTTATTTCTCCATCGAGAATTTCCAACATCAATTACTGTTCTTTAATGATTCTCATAAACCAGAAAGACTGTTCAAAAGTAACTTTTTATTAGCAAAAATGTTCCTCCCTCATTAATTCAGAAAGTATCGAAGAATCAGCAAACTATATCCCTAGACGTTACAATTAATTTCTAAGAGTACATTGTTCATAGTGGACGCGCTAGAGCGACCAAAGTTCGACAAGTTTCCCCAAACTTCAACCCCTTAAGCAGTTTATCGTCGACCATTTACACGGTGAAACGCTTAACCGGTAAATCTGCTCTATCCTGAATATGGTAAACTATCTACATATACAGGGTGTTCCCAAAAATGTTGGAACATTTTGCTTTCATTACGCCTTTGTTAACGAGTTATTAACAAAAAAACACGAATTATTAACTAACCAATCACGTAATCTAATTTAGCTACAACGACAGTAGCGTTGGCTACGTGCTGTCAACGAACACGAACAAGTGCTTGTCCAAGTAACGTATCTCAAATATACGTTGAATATAACAAATATTTTTTTATCGATAAAAAATTATATCACGAACAATGAACAAATAAACAAATATAATATTCAACACACTTTTTTCGAGATATTTTTGCTTGGACTCATGTTCATGTTCCATCGACGCCACGTAGCCAATGCTATTGTCTCGATTAGGCTACGCGCTTCGCGATTGGCTAGTGTTTTTCTGTTAATAATTCGTTAACAAAATCGCAACGAAAGGAAAATGTTGTTTGAAATTATCTCAGGAATCCACAGTTTACGGATGTTGAAAAATTTTTGAGACGCTCTATATACACATATCTATACGTATCTAGGGGACCCTAGATTCTTCGACACTTTTACCAAGTCGTGCGTCACTTTTTTTCCATCGCTTTCCCCGGTTGTACACGGGCCTCCACGCTTCCCTTGAGAAATTTGAACCTGATCGATTTATCGGACGCGGTTCTCACCTCCTTTCCACCCCCCCCCCCCCCCCCACCACTCTCTTTCTCAAGTGGCATTAGGCAGGTTTAATGCGATGCCTGCAAAAAGGGAAACAGAGTGTAGAGGTACGGCGAGTAGTAGGTGCCGAGTGCCATTGACTGCGGAATAAAATAGACGGTGGCATTTCCAGCGCGGCTCAGCCTTGGCAAAATTCCATTTCTTTTCCACGAGGTCCGCGCTCTGAGCAAGAATTGATATTTCCTTTTCCTCCGCTCCTTTTCTTTTTTTTTTTTTCTTCTCTTCCCCTTTGCGTTTTTCCTCTTGCTTTCTTCGTTTTCTTTTCTTTCCTCTCTTTTGTTTCTCTTTTCTTTTTTTTTCTTTTTTTTTCTTTTGGAATTTTAGTAATGAAATGGTATACTTACGTATCTGACTGGATTTCTATCTTTTTGCGAAAATTGTTTTTTCTTTTTTTTTTT